CCGAAGTGCCCATTCCTGTGCTGTACTGTTCTATACAATGCCATGGGAAATTTTTCAACTACTTGACAGGGGCCTTAGTTCAATATCTCGTTGAAAAGCCAACTCCTCCAGAGCTGCAGCATTCCCTCAGTACTGCACTGGGGTAACAGCCTTGATCTTTGTGCTCAGGCCCTGGAATGGGAGGTGAATCCAGGACTTTGTGACTCAGAGGCAAGAACACTACCAGCTGAATCACAGCAGGCACACAGCAAACCGACCTCTTGAAATTTTCTAGATTGTCATAAAGTTGAGCAATGGCTTGCTGGAGCTTTACAACATTGTCCAGTCTTTGTTTGGCCTGATCTAAGCTTTTCTCCTGGTGCATTATCTCCCTCACTAAAGCACGTTGAAAATTAGTGTGCTCACTTTTTGAACCACCTATTTCAGAAGTTGGAAAATATTGTGCAGCATTTGCACTGTCAGGTGTTGAGGTCCTCTGCTGGGAAATGACCTTTTATATTTTCTGGCCTATGCAGGGTTAGGGTAGAGTTAATCCTAAAATGGCTGCGTTAGCCGCAGCTCATCTGGCTGTCAGATGTTTGTGAAACTGGTTCAATTGTTAATTGAAAAAGGAAGACCACAGTTTGGAGATGTAAACAACAATTCATTCTGTGAATGATTCACGTTGGAACCAAGGCTGACAGAGAAAATTAAACTATCCTGCAAACTTCAGGGAAAAGCCAGTAATTTGTAACTGCATTGAGTTGAATGGTGAACCGTAAGCAAATCAAAGACATTAAAGCACTTTGCAAAGAGACTGCAAGAGGGAAGAGAGTGGTCACACAAAATTGACGTTTGACCTCATTCTGCCTTGAATGGGAGCATGAGCTAATGCTAACCTGAGAAGGTGATGGTGATGAAGGGTGACTTCCTACATTCACAGCTTATATAATGGTGAGTGGCTTCAAAAGACCTGTGTTATTTGACAGAAGATGGTACTACTGGGCAGTGCTTGCCACTGCTGCCTCACTGTGCCAGGGACCCAAGTTCGACTCTGGCCTTGGGCAACTGTGTGTGTGTGGAGTTTACACATTCTCCCGGTGTCTGCGTGGGTTTCCTCCGGGTGCTCTGGTTTCCTCCCACAGTCCAAAGATGTGCAGGTTAGATGGATTGGCCATGCTAAATTGCCCGTAGTGCTCAGGGATGTGCAGGCTGAGTGGGTTAACTACAATAAATGTGGGATTGCAGGGATAGGGTGAGATGCTGTTCGGAGGGTTGGTGAAAACTTGATGGGCCGAATGCCTTCCATCTGCACTGCAGTGATTCTATGAAGTCAGAACTCAGATTCAAAACTGGTTTGATAAGTCCTGCACTTTTAATTATTTAATATAGCAGTCATTCACTAAAACATAGTCAATTAAGGCTGCAGATTTCCTTTAACAATAAAGAAAATCTTAATCACATAAAAGAAAAAAAACCCTGCTTTCTAAATATAGAACACAATTGGAACAATCTTAAAACACAGAGCAAAACAAAGTCTCATCTATTTACCATCAGCCACAGTGTTCCAAATTGAGATATTCTTCTTATTCTTCTATATCTAATCTTTAGGTTCGACTTCACTGTCTCTTCCCGATTCTATCCTGTGAGCTGTGAAATCCTCATATGAATACTCATGAAACTTAAAGATTAAATTTGTAACCAAACGCATCTGGTCTGGGAGTTTCACAAGCTAAACGTTTGTTCTAAGGTGATTAAGCTTTCTGAGAATTGTCCTTCTTTCTAGGAGGGAACATTATTTGCTTTTGACCCACTTAGGTCACCTCCAAAACTGCCCTAAAAGCTTTCATTTCTGGTCATCTCTGGGTTTTCTAAACTAAAATCAATCCTTGATTATTCCAAACCCACAGCAAGCTAATGTTTTCTCCCTGTCATAAACACCACAGTATAAATAAAGAATTTTCCCAAAAAACTCCTAGAGTCTTGCAATCACCTGCTCTTTAACATGCCACAGTTCCAGAAGGACTATCTGGCCTTTTTATTTTTAAAACCCTGTCTGCACCCATATGCCACTAGTTTGAAATCTGTATGCTAAAATATGCTATTTATATATAAATCATACAATTTTCATCATACCTGATAATGTAGTACCATGGGTATGTTAATTATGATTTCTGTATACAGTTTACTTGTTAACAACAATGTAAATAAATATGGTAATTTATATTGGAGGTGAAAATGACCTGATGAGAGATGTATTGACAACGTCAGTGGTTATCATAAAAACCCAGCCTGGTTTCTGGACATTAAAATACCATTGGCACCGTCAAGGTGTCTAGATTTCCTGCCCTTTAAGTTAGAAAAAAGTACTTACTAATTTACACTATTTTATGATATAAACCTGAGGGTAAGCATGATCATTTATGCTGTATGACTGATTTCACAAACTAACATTATCACAATGTGGTCTCTGTCAGTTCACCATTTGATTTGTAGCTCCAAATCATTATTATATCTTTAATGTGGGGCTATGAATACAAATGTTTTTTTTTAAATAATGCTATTAAGTACCTCATTGAGGTGTTGACTTTTATAAAAGATCAAGTAGTTGAAGGAGTTTTAATGTAGTGAATGTTTTTGTATTAAAATAATGGGTACTGTAGTAGACATTTAAACTTTATTTATTATGTCTTTTATGGCTCCTGAGATCTGCCCATTCTGGAGATTGGCTGAGTTTTCATGGAGATTATAAGGGCAAAAGGTGGTAGTTGGAGGGCATGAGTTGGAATAAGTTGGCATATCAGCTGTCAAGAGGCAAATGGGGTGGCTATAGTGAATTAAGTTGGCATGGAAGCCAGAGAGGCTGTGGGAGATAAATAGAGAGCAATAGATCGGCATGAAGGTATGAGGGGCCATCGTGGGTAGATGGAAGCATAAGGTGACAGGAAAAGTCAGAATCATGCCCTTTGCTGCGGCATCTTCTGATAAATTGATCAATAGGCTCTTGGGGGTGCTGTTTGTATGATGTGAGTTGGAGTCAGTTAATCCTAAAATTAATGATTACTTCAAGCTGCTCTTAAAGATATTTATAGATCATTTCTGGATCTTTCTGAACATCCATGGAAAGACCAGATATGCTGATTAAGTGAAAACCCTCCATGCCAAGCAAGAACTTCAGAGCTCTTTTCTTGATCTGCCTTTGCTCGATCTCTAAATTAGAAATGCATATATTGTTTGAAAAATTGTAATTTAGTCAAAGTAGTGCAGGATACTGTTCAGTTCATTTTGAAGTTTCTGTTATCCATGATTCTGCCTTACAAGCATTGTGCTGCCCTCCTTGAGCTATATGTCCCTGACTTTATTACCAGTGTAAACAAAAACCGTGGTTCTTCTGGATTTGGTCCTTTTATAAGTTTTGCTTTAAGATCTGTAGGCTTGTTGTTGGAGATTGGAATGCTTGTAGTTACAGGCTTCTGCCTGTAGGTGGCAATTGCACCAAATAAGGAGTAATGACATCGCATGGACTTTTACTATTTTTGTGCCAACTTGGAGAGAGAAAATGGCAGAATTGATTGAGGTCTGGACAGAAGTAAGAATCATAGAAAACCACATTTTTAATGTTTTAAAGCTGTATTTTCTTTTCATGGAGCCTTGGAGCTGTGTTCCAGGACCATTTAACTGCTGCTTTTTGTTAAATCAGACCAGCAGTACCTTGTGTTTAGATCTGTCATGAGAGAGAGAAAGCTAGAGCATCAAATACATCTGCAGCCTTGTAACTTTAGTCTTATTTTCACATAGCACTCTTAGAAATTTATTGTATCTTGAAAGAACTTATATTATAATCAAAAAAGAAATTAGCTCTGTCCTCTCGGTCAGTGCCCTATCTACAGACATATGCAGATATTCGTACTCACAGAAACTAATGCTGTTGATTGTCCAAGTTCTCTGATTTCAGTTGTCCCGTTGGCCTTCAATTAGTTTTTTCAATATCTACCACAAAGATATTAGAGTCTACGTTATAAATGGCCACTGCTGCTAACCATGATGTGATTTTGTCTCCAACATGATATTTTACTCAATGCAGTGATACTGATATAATTTCCTATTACGTAAGCTTGGTGTGCATATTGTGGTATTGACAAATCAAACAGACATTTATTGGAGCTAATAGACATCACATTCACAGGCACACAAGTGTCTGGGCTAGCTATAAACTGTTAGATTACAATGGAACATTATGCTTCCAGTAGCATGTTCAAGTCACCCCAGGTGGAATATGAAAGTTTTATATTCCTCAGCTCACATGCCATGATACATTGATGATATCATGAGGCAGTCTTTTAAAAATATACTGATGGTGAGATGTAAACAATAGTGGGTTTGGAAGGTACTGTCACAGGAGCCTTGGTGAGTTATTGCGGTGTATATTGTAAATGGTACACATTGTTGCCTGAATGGGATGCCAGTCATGCAGACTAATTTGTCCTTGATGTTGAGCTTCTTGAGAGTTCCTCATCTGGCAAAGTAGAGAGGTGTTTATCACACTCCTGTCTTGCTCCTTGTAAATGGTGGTCTGGCTTTTGGGGGTCAGGAGGTGAGTTACTCACGACACAACTCCCAGCCTGCAATTTGGCCTTGTAGCTGCAACATTTAAATGGGCGGTCCAGTGCTTGTGTAAAACAAGAAAATATTAAATGTAAAATATTGTTATATTTTGATGCAGTTACAGATGGATGAAAAATGTATTTGTGCTTAACTGCAAATATCAAACAAAGTAGAGCAAAGCTTAGAAATTACTGTTGGCAAAATTAGAAGCTACTTAATAATTTCTTATGACATTCTTTTACCAGCCACAATAGAGCCACTAACCTATTTTCAAATAAATCTCATTAAAATACCAGACATCAGAAGGTGCCAAGCATTTGCTGCTATTTCAGTGTACGCACTGTGATTTAGAGCCAATGATTTTTTGCATTGGTTTCATTTAACATCCTTACAAAAACATGTTTGTTTTACTATAGCCACTTGCAAAAGGTGCATTCCTGAGAGGATCTGGAATGAATGTGTCGACTGGGAGATTTACAGCACCAATAACCGGCATCTACCAGTTTTCTGCCAATGTACACATCGGTAAGTGGCCACTCAGAGCTCGATATTTTCAGATTGGATGTGTATTTAATAGGGAAACAGAAATATAGTTGCCTTAAATAGTGACAGCAGTGACTCTGCTTTAAGAGTAATCCATTTGAAAGTGACATGATTCAGGAAATTCTGAAGATGCCGTATATTAGTACTTGGTTCTTTGTTGATTATGTCTGAACCATTATCAAGTGGAGCTTTTGAAAAGCTTGATTCAACAAATTGGACCAGAGTAAAGAATTAAAGCCAGATATTACTGCTAACTGATAAAATTCTGCCAATTTGCTGTATAGAATACAGGTCAAAATACCATCTAATTTAACCCTGATAAAGAGATAAACAGTTTGCCAGGAAATGTATGATACCATCAGAATTTTCAGGGCTGTTGATGCTTTCAGAGAGGAGGCCATGTGATGGAGCGGGTAATGTCCCTGCCTCTGAGCCAGAAGCTTTGGGTCCAAATCCCATTCCAGGACTTGATGGCCAAGGAATGTGAGTCCATAATCACAGCCAATGTGTATCAATCTGTCAAACCTTGGAACACACTCCACAGGAAGATGGGAAGAGCAAGTGAGATTCCAGGTCAGCCATGTGATGGAATGAAAACTCTATCAGCACTAAGCAGAGCTCCAGTGAACAGCAAGCCTGGAAAAGTCTACATTGTGACAACACTGCAGACCCTTGGGTATGGACCCTGCTTGGCCAGGATGAGTTTGGGACCTGTCTCCTTCCCCTACCCATGGTGGAGGTCACGGTGTTGTGGCTCAGATCTGCTTTTGGGCAGGAAAATGACAAAAGGCGAAGAAGAATTCTCTCCCCGGTCACCAGAGCTTCATTTAGGGGTTAAATTACATTGGGCATTCTCTACTGATCGCAGCAAGGCAGTTAGAAGGAAGATGGATTGTTCTCTGAGTGCAGCAGTAATATTAAAGAGGGCTGTTAAAGCCCCATGAGAGAGAAAAGAGATCTGTGAACTACAAAGGAAACAGAATCCCTACCAGTGTGGAAGCAGGCCATTCAGCCATTGAGTCACACCAACCCTTCAAAGAATAGCCCACCCAGACCCATACCCCTATCTCTGCATTTCCCATGGCTAATCTACTTAACCTGCACATCTTTGGACTATGGGAGGAAACCAGAGCACCCAGAGGAAACCTGGGAAGACACAGGGAGAATGTGCAAACTCCATGCAGATAGTTACCCGAGGTGCAATTGAACCCTAGGTCCCTGGTGCTGTGAGGCAGCAGCGCTAACCACTGAGCCACCGTGCCACCCAAATAGGAGGAAGGTTTTCCTGTGGACAGCTTCTGAGGAAACAATGGCAATTCCCAAAATCTGACAATGCGTGCTAAAAATTGATGATCAATACTGATTGATATTGGCTTAGTCAAAGGTGCCATTCCCTGGGAAAGAATGAATCCTACTGCACTGGGGCAAGAAGCTTACAAGCATCCCTGGAGGAACTGGTTAAAGCTCAACATCATGGTACTGAATAGAGTTGTAGTGAAAGCAAGTGTCAGTACGAAGCTAGATGGTGGGCAAAAGAAGGAGGGTGCTTGTTCACTTTTTCAGTTGGGATGGATCAGAGTTGGGGGCAGGTCTGGCACTGCAATGGAGAAGAAGTACAAATGATCGATGAGCAAACCAGGTGACTAACTTCAACAAGCTGCCAGGAGTGGGGTGGGATTTGTTCTTGTTTCTCCTCACCTGAAAAAGTGCTTGGGTGCTAAACCAACAGAACAATATAACATTACGTAATGTATGAATTCTCTGAGTGGGTCCTTAAAGAAGAGGCTACCAAATATTAGACATATTGTATTTCCCAGATTTACTGACAACTGGTCTTCTCCAGTCAGCATCATTGTCACATCCTCTTCAGTAGGCCTCACATCCTGCACAATGGGAACCTTTACCTGTCCTGTCAAAGACACCTCTACACTTACACCTAACATAAACTGAAGCATTGAACACTGTTGTTCATTTCCTACAAGGCAAAAGGCTCCAATAGACTTCTTACAAATCCCTGGATCTCTTCTGACTGCCAACTGACAGAGAAAATCATTTAAAGTTCTTTGGGCTGTATCTCCCCACAACATCATTAAGCAGTAGGCTCAGTGGCAGTTTGAATAGTTTGAAATTCCCAAAATCATAAAGTCATTTTTTTTATCCACTGATGTGTTTAACTCCCACTTGCAAAACCTGATGTAGGATAAGATAGATCATTACCAAACAATACTTACTGTTAACTTATCTGGCCATGTTGTTGAACACTCAGGTAGATTATGATACTACGATAGTTGTAATCTTTCAAAAGATCAGAGTAGAATCTAGCTGTCAGAGAGATCTATGGCATGAAGAGTTGAAGTAATCGGCCAGGAAGCATCAAAACAAACTCAGATGTTGTCTGACAATTTACTGGAATTCTCTGAGGATGGTGGGCCTTGCTGTCAACTATTTCTATGTTACAAACATTTCACGTTGTGACAATGATGATTGCAGTGTGAGAATAAAGGTGTGTCAAGAGACTAAAGTGGATTGAGAAGTGGCTACAGGACATAAGGTTGGCTATGGAACTCTTGTGGCATAGTGGTGGGGTCCCTATCTCTCGGCACGAAAGTTCCAGTTCAAGTCCCAAATGTGCTGGAAATGTGTCACAAAATGTCTAACCGTATCAATTTCAAAATACTTTAAGGGCAAGTGGTAGCATAATTGTAACGCCAATAATCCAATGTTCTGGGGACATGGGCTTGAATCCCACCATGGCAGATGATGAAACTTGTTTATAGGGCACCTCATGGCACAGTGGTAGGGTGTTTCTACCTCTGATCCAGGAGGCCCATGTTCACATCCCAGCTGCTCTTGATGCACGTAATCAGATAGATTAACATAACCAGAAGGATGGTTGTGAAAGGAGCTGCAGTGATGAGCAGGGGTCACTAGGACAGTTGTCTGAGAATGTCATAACCTGATTGGGAACTGCTTGGAGAGAAAAATACATATCTTTTTAACAAGTTTGTAGTTGACATGAAATGGGTTTGGGTAGATTCAAACAACTGGGAACAAGCAAACCAATTGCAAAAGAATCTTGGGCCCTTAAGCTGATAATGGTAAAATGTTGAGAATTGCAAGGGAGAGAGAATAAACAGGAGCAATCAAACCTAACCAGCTTGACAGCTGCCCAAGGGTAACCCCCGATAAAGGGATAGCTCATTGCGTGGCTTCACATGAGGCAGCAGTGAGGAAAACCAACCATGCCTTGAGATTTATAGTCAGCGGGATAGAATACATATCCTAAATGGTCAGAGAGTATAGAATCACATTTGAAGTTTTGTGAAAAAGTCCTCCTCTGTGTTCACGACAACAAAGAGATTCAGGATTGGATGCAGAGCAGAACACGGCAACAAACTTGAACCTTCACGTCACATATCTGCATGATGTGAAGAGATTTCAGAACTCGGAAAGAAAAGACTCACCAGTGGTATACAGGGATGAACTTCCTCTGCCTGTAGCTTTGAGAATAATGGGATGCTTTTCATTCTCTGCATGCTTAATTGTCCAACTGGGAATGGCAGACAAATGTTAAGAGTTATAACGTATGAAGGGAGATATGCATTGATTCATAAACACATGTAATAGGCTACCCAGAGAGGCAGCATCATTGAATGCTCTCTGGAAACTTGACTCTCAAACTGCTTAATGCTTTATCTTTGAGGGGTCAATGCTCATGGTGCAGTTGTCTGCCTGTTGTTTCATGAAGGCTGCTAGAACTGGTGCCACTGTCTGTAGGGGTAGTAGGAACTGCCGATGCTGGAGAATCTGAGATAACAAGGTGTAGAGATGGATGAACACAGCAGGCCAAGCAGCATCAGAGGAGCAGGAAAGCTGACGTTTCGGGTCTGGACCCTTCTTCAGAAAAAAATCTGATCTGATGCTTGTATCATTCACATAATTGTATGCAAAGGGTTCCCACGGCAACTTCTAAGATTTACACATCCCCCCCAGGTGCTGCAACTGCACATTGGGCCATTTCTGAGTTAATTCTCCTTCTCTGTCTCTGCCAGTAAATAAAACCTGCCTTCACTCTTTGGCAAATGCTTCCTCTTCTGGGGAGGTAGAAGTGGGGAGAGAGAAAAACACTTTCAAACCTGTCGCCTAACAATACACAGGAATTAAATCGCACTCCTTGGAGGGCAATCTGTGCTGAAGCAACTGTGTGTGATAAAACTCTCTGTGTTTCTCACAACTCTTTTACAATTAATTAACGGAACAGAATTGATTAAGTGCAGATGATGAGAAGCAGCTTATACCACTTAATAAGGAGACTTAATGACATTTGTTGGAATCTGGCATTCCTAACCAACAACTTGCTCACACAAGAAGGCACCTATTTGATGTTAATACATACCTTGTTAGCTTCTCTCTGGTCCCCTCATGGTGTAATAAAGGCCCAGGTTTCTGCAGTCACTGGTCTGGATCAATGCATTCAGGAGGCCTGTCTCCAGCACTA